TACCCAGAAATCGGGTGTGCGTGGTATCCGAATGCGGGTTTTTCCAGTAAATTGTTAACTCAGAAGCCTGGAAACCTAGAAAGCTGAAATTTTAAGGGGGTGTTTCCTGCCAGTTTTGGCGGCTAGTCTTAATTTGTTTAGCTAGAAGGATCTGCCGAAAAAACCGATGCCGGTAGTGACAAAAGCTGCGGGGAACTGTGCAAAAAACGCATCATCGCACGGACAGTCCGTACGCTGGCCAATTATCTGTAATTGCTGAGGTACGGGAAAGAAGGCTGAGGGCAAGGGATGGAGAAAGGTGCATTAAAAAGTGAATATTTATAAAAGTATGGGCTCCGTTTATGCATATTGGGGATTTCGAGATCGCATATTTGAATTTGTTTGAATTTGGCATTGTTACATTATTTGTTTCTAAAAGGTGCCACTGGAAAGTGGATCGGTGGATATTGTTGTTTTTTGCCTGTCGCTGATGGGAACAGATTTACATGAATACTTTCGAGAAGCAAATCGATTGCTCAAAAACGGGTGCGTTTTTAAATCCTCACTGTGTTTTAACAAATTTTACACCGGTCAAGAGATTCTCTATATTCATTTTTTTTCCTCAAGATGAGGAAAATATGAGAGCAGGAAAAGGTGGTAGGAGTTTTCAGCGAACGCCAGATCTACCAGAAGACCCTCAACTAGCCGATGGAACAACTTCAAAAACAGATGGATATAGCTCTTAGCCAAGCATATTTACAAATGCGATGACCTTCTGTGTTAGAATACTCAGTGGTCACCAAATAGCAGGTCATTTATTTTTCGAACTCTGTAACGTCCGCCTTGGCAACTTAGCCATCCAAAGGATCAGATGGGTAATGATGGCTTCTTCAAAATGGGAAAACGACGCAGAAGTCGTGGTAGACGCAGCTGATAAAATAAATTTGTGCATCGATCGTGTTGTGAGGCCACAAACTACGAATGGAAACATGTCGTGGGACTTTACATCACCGTTAGTTGTGATGCTCTTTACCCTATCCAGGAGAAAAATTACAGTACGCGGCGGCTTGTGCGCCAGCTTTCAACGACCAGAGATAACGCTGGATATTCATCCGAAAAAAAAAAAACAATGCAGCTTTGCAGTTTAGGGCGGTACACACGATATCTCCTGAAGATTTTAGTGCCAGAATCGAGGAAGATCATCTATTAGAGGAGAAATATGGCTCTTGGTTGGTGACCAGAAATTAAATGAATGGAAGACTCGCAGGTTTTGTCTGTTGCTCAAAAACTACGTAATGAATTTGCTCTCCGACAAACGCAGCAGAATGAGCACGAAACCGCGGCCCGAAATGAAATCGACTAGATGTTCGCAATGAAGCAAAAACTGTGGATCGGTACAGTAATGGAATTTGCTGCTCCCGGCTAAGTTCATTGGTTTTGCGAATTCCATAGGTAGAATCTCATTTCCGGAGTTGAAAGCGAATCTGCAAAATGTCCGGTTTGGTTTAGTCCAGAACATTTTACACGCAATTTATTCGTAGAAGTCGATGAAGGCAAGAAGTAGAGAATTGCGGGAAGTTATGTCGTCATTGATAACACTGCTCTGTTTGATAGGTGTAAAGCTGTTGCTGCAGATAATGTTATCTGAAGACTTACAAACTGCGTAAGCCAAGGGACTCTTGCTGTTCTTTGAAGACGATGAAAAGTGGCAGACGTATCAGTGCCGGTCTGGACTGTAAACTTTTGCATTGACAAAGATGGGCAGCAGAAGAGTGCGACAGTTTATGAAAACAGAAACCACTTGTAATTTAAGAGCTGGAAATTAAAAATTTAGAGGAAGGCGTAGTTGATTCAGAACATCTTAGTGGCGTTTTTAAGCAAGAAAGCCGCAAAGCAGCAGATCGAAACCATGTGGAGAAATTTACCGCAATGTTATGATTTTTTTCCGCCCGCTTCTGTGGTGCTCAGTTATTATTTTCTTTCCTGTGTAACAGCTCTATCCTTGCCTGGATCAGGGTGTTATCAAGACACTGTATGCCGAAAGGAAGAGCTAGCTTGCCACCTGGCGAGAATAAGAGGCTGTAGGTGAAAGGACGAATTGCTGGATGCTGCTCACGCAATTTTAAGGATAAGATGAAACTTCTGGAACATCTTCATAATTTTCTGTGGATGCTAAAAGCTGATGGTATAAAGCATGAAAAAGTCGGCGGCAGTGCTGACGGGAAAGTGCGCAACGAAAAAAGCAGCATCCGATGAAAGAAGAGTCGCGCAGGACATTACACTTTTTCGGCAGTTTGCAAAAGTGAAAAATTTTGCGCCTCGTTACTTCCTCCCAGCTACAACATGCCGTAAGAATTAGTACAACTCTAATTATATTTTTAGTATTTATACGTTCCTCAGCGAACAGTAACCAGTAAAGAATGCCACAAATTCCCATGTAATAAATTCACATCGATTTTGCTATAATTGTTATCGAACTGTCTCGCATCGATTTGCAGCAGTCTTTTGACAGCTTTGCCATGCTCAGATTTTGCTTAAAGAAGAAAAGGGAGTGTCCGAAGATTTGTTAAAATAATCGAGAGGCGAACTCTGCTAGCCCACATACCACCTGCCTTTTCATTGCGCCTATTAAAAAGGGTTTCCATTAATCGGAATGAAGTATGACTTTAATGCCCACGGTTCGTTCAGTCAGCTTTTTCTGATGAAAAACCCGCTGAACTGGAGAAGGTTTGTCCTGGTGAAGTTTGCAAGTGAACTGCATAACTAGCGTACCGCCCCTACCGTCAGGTTAATTGATAAGCAAATTCGAGACAAAATCCGTGAGGAAGTGCTTGTTTGAGCTTAAAAGTGAGTGTTGGGTTTGAACGGCACTAAAAAAAGTAAATGAACAAAGGCTTTGACGGAAATTCTGGGCGAGCAGTCTTATACAGAAATGCTGATCAGAATGCATTATGTTGCTATGCATGTGCATGTGCTGCGACGGTTTTTTAATAGGAGTTCTTTACAATATTTTGAACCTTATTGCTGTTTCACTTTTTTTTTTTTTTTTTCTAAAAGTGTATTCATCATTATACTTTTTACAGTGGCTTCATGAAAATTGCCGATGTTACAAGCCGGTTCAAGAGTATCAAACGTTTTGTAGGCGCTGTATCAAAAATGGGCTTTGACTTTGTTGAAAAGGTACAAATTTGTTGTTTCAGGGCATATTTTCTCTCATTTTCTTAGGTCTTTTTCCTAATACTTTTCTTTCAAGACGCAGAAATGATATGCTTATTAAAGTTTTCTCTCTGAACGATTTTTTCAAATTTCATGTGTTAAAAATGCATATGAGCTGGTAGCTTTGGTGTAATAGCAAATGCCACTCATTCTCATACTTGAAATGTTGGTTCGATTTTATGCGTTTTTGCTGTGCAGCGCTAGAGCGCTACAACAAGCAGCAAAAGCGCGTATTGCAACGATCCTGTCTGTGTGTGTATGTTTGTGCGTGTGTGTTCGTCTGTCCATGTGTTTTAACTCGCCGACCACGCAGACTTTGAA